GTGCAAATGTCACGTATGTGTGTATGTGCGCTTATGGTAGGCATTATATGCTAGGGACTTGTTACCAATTATATTGACATTTAATGATGGTTTTTCCTCTTTTGTGGACCAAATTATGACACAAACATACATTAACCAAACAAATTGTGTCAACCAAACAAATTGTGATTTTTTCTAGATATTAAGTTATGATTTATGAAAATGCATTAAATATTTTCTAAACAATATATAATTCTTTAACTAAAATAACATATTTACTAGTTCTGAAGATATATGATCACTATTTTATAGAAAGTAATTAAGTTGCTCGAATCTTTTGCTTCATCTGTTTGTCATTCAGACCTTACATGCATGTAGAATTTATTTTTGTGTATATATAATACTAATAGTACTAGATTTTGACCCACGCCAAGCGTGAGATTAAATGATTAAATATATATTTTTAATCGATTTTAATATTTAAACGTTTATGACAAAACATATGATTTCTAATATCTATAAACGTAAAATAATAACGTGTATTGCATAAATATTATAAAATTGAATTTTGATCAAACATATTTTGATTTCATTAGCTCTAATACTTTTATGTGTAAAATTNGTTANAACATATGCAAAGTTANTTATTTCAATATATTTTAANTGTAAAATTAATTTTAAATATTCGTGTAAATTATAAACTATGTGAAATCATAGAAATTTTAGATTTATATTAATATGTCGGACATAACAAACAAAAAAAAATATGTTTTCAATAATAAAATGTGTAAATATTTATAAGTTTAGTTATATATGTATAATAGACTATATCAAAATTAAAACATTTGTANAGTATGCTAATCTAAATACATATATAACAGTAAATCAATTTTTNTGGTAAGTCTAAAATATGACNTTTAGTTGGGTTTAAAATGTTAAAANATTTATTAGTGNATTTATGTTAAATTTTAAAAACTCATAAGAAAATGTATATAATTTCTACTATGATATATACTATTAATTAAAATATTTTGATTGGTTAAATGAAACGATGTGTCCATTAAATTACTCATTGATTCACATCACAATTTTTTCTTCTATTGTCACTTCAATTAATATATAGAAGATTCAAAACAGTTTATATTTCAGATATATTGATTTTTCAAGATTAATATAGTATCCAAGAAANAAAACAACATGAAAATTTGTTTTAAGAACCTG